CACTCTCTCTCTCTCTCTCTCTCTCGCTCTCACACTCTCTCTCACTCACTCACATACACGCACTCGACCAGGCTCAATAATAAGAGTCGCAGAACAACTAAAACACAGAAACAGTGACCTCAAGTGGCCACAAAAAGGACAAGAGCACCTAAAGTAATGTGATTGCTGGTTATTTTCAGTTATTTCAGTTTCTGTTTTCTGTTTAAACATTATCCTGCTGAAAGGTCTCACAGCAGTGCAGGTATGTGAATTCATTTAAAATTCAAGGCATTGAAATGTTCCCTCCTGGTGGAATAACCTCAATCCCAGCAGCTGAGTCCTCAGCCATCTTCAAGAATCGGCTAAAAACATCTCTTCCATCTTTATTTGACCCTCTAACGCTAGCACTGTCTATTCTATCTACTTGTTTTCTTTTTATTCATATAATAAATGTTCACTGGAGGCAAGTTGAAGTAGAACCCATGTGCAGTTTTATTCAACAAAAGATGACTCAGAATACACAAATAAACAAAAAGACATGAACTTGACTATGAACATAGACTCACCAGCAGTGGGTTACACAAACAAAGCTGGACCATGGACCATGAGGGCTATATATACCAAACAAGGGGGTCACATGACACAATCCAACCAATGACAGAGATGAGCTGAGGACCATGAACCAATCAGAAGGCAGAACAAAAGACCACATGACTAAAAGAGGACATGACTGGGGCAAAACTACAAAATAAAAGACATGAAAACATGAGCATACACCAAACGTGATTATAAAAAAAAAACGGACCCACTAACACTAGCGTTCTCTATTCTGTTTCTATTCTATCTTATTGTTTTTGTTTTATTTATTAATAAAAAAATAAATAAAAACACGTGCTACGTGTGCTGCGTTAGACTAATCTGGATTCGTCACAGCACTTACATATTAATGCCCTTTTGTTGGTTTGATTGCTTCTGTTGTCCTCATTTGTAAGTCGCTTTGGATAAACGCATCTGCTAAATGACTAAATGTAAAAGTCTAGTCTGCTGTTTGATTTTAATAAGGCATGAACTGATGAGTAGCATATGAAGAATGAACAGACTAAATATTGCATCTAGACGAGGGTATCATTCCCTACATATCTCATGCAGAAACACTAAAATATCAGGATCAGTGCAGCTGCAGGAACAAGTATGTCAATCTTTTGCTCCCTTCAACTTACGTCCCAAAAAAAGGAAAAACTAACACAAACAGTACCATGAAAACATTGACTGTGCAGGTCGAAAAATGATGTGAACCTTGGATTTAATGAGAGCTTGAGTGTTTGGCAGCAATAGCCTCCAGCAGACAGCATCAGGAGGAACTTCACACACATGTAGACACTTCCTAAGACACGCGTGGTTTGACCTGTGGTCACCATTATTAATAAAAGTACATTTGCACCTGCATCCCATCTCAAACTCAGTGCTGTACTGTTAAATATTAATTTCCAAGAGACAAATTATGTCATATTGCTAGTAAATGAACTTATTTGTTAATCAACATTTTGACCCAGAGAGGATTTTCCTGAAAATGATAGTTAATGTTATCGCTATCGCTGGACTAAACCTTACTGACTTTGCTCAAACAATGTTTTTGTTTTTTTTATTTATCATTTTTTTGTACTTTTTGGGGGATTTTTTCCCAACCGTGTTACACTTGTGGCGTTCCTGGTCAAAAATGACCTGTCTACAAAAAAATTGTTTATAAATGTCTTGTTATGCTATATTATTACCAAATATTGGTAATTCCCTCAGTTTTTGAGACAATATTGACAAATTATAAACAAAAATGTTTATTTATATAGTCTTAGTCCTGTGTTAAATGTCTTCATTTTATCATATTTAATCAACCTACCCTGTTTTTTTGTTTTTTTTTGTATTTGACTGAAATTCTGGGAATTTTAGTCTAGTTTTACTCAATATAAACTCATATTTTAGTCATGCCGTATAATAGCTAAACTGATCAATTCAAATCGCAATTACTGATCATGATTGTTGTCATTTGAGAGATTTCATCAGATTTATTGCACTTTCACCAATAAACACAAATCAAGAGAATGTCAACTCATACACATGCTTTTTGACCTTCCTGATTTATTACATTTTCATAAATGAACACACTCTTTACATTACGAAAACTGGTTCAACATAAAAGCTTCCCTCAAATGCAAAAAGCGTAAAAGTTCTCATATAAATTCCAATATTCAGTGATTTGCGCTAGCATTTCTCCCTCAGAGAAGCGTGCATGCTCTGGTATTATTGTGCATGTGTTTGTTCAGATAATACATCAACTGAGGAGAGCTCGGAGGAAGAGGAAACCCATGAAGAGGAAGAGGAAAGAGAATCAGGTTGACATTTGATCACTCTATATAATCTTTTCTGGTGAACTAGAAAGCACGCTGATGCTTTTTACACTTGCATCTCCTTATAATCTACTACAATATTAGTAATGCATCTGAACAGTAATGTATCTTGCAGTTTTACTTGGTATGTTTTTGTCGTATGTCTGAACAAAACCTGAGTGCTTTTATGTTTTAAACAGAAGATGAATTGCAATGAAAGCCTAAGATACAGTAAGAATCACAGTAACAGACAACACGAGACTGTAGTATCATTTTTTTTTAAGATGAAGCTTTCAGCAGTCAGTCTTATTGTTCTTGAGTGAAGGATAAACCATAATGCTACATTTTCACGCTTTTCCAGACTCCGACACGAGACCCAGAGCAGAACATCACAGTGGTAATGATACTCCAGCATGTTTGATACGTGTGCCGTGTTTAGATCACGAGCTGATGTCATAAATCTGTGTTTCTCTCCCGTGACGCCTCAGACGAGCAGCGTCAGGCCAGCTGTGAGAAGTGTAAAGCTCTGAAGGTCAGTCTCTGAACACCGATAGCATCAACACAACCTTCTTAGCTTCATGGCATTCTACAAAACATTTAGCGTGGTAAACAATCAATGATTCAAAAGTGGATATCTGTAAATATCAGCGTTAAATAGTATTTCTAATAAGCACCCTGTAATACAGGGTTTCTGTGGGTCTTAACATGGTATTAAAAAGTCTTAACTCACCCTTCCACAAATGAAGGCCTTAAATTAGAGCAGGACGTCTTAAACTCATGAAGTCATGGCATTAAAGGTTGCATGCATTGCTGAAGATAAGTATCTTCCTCAGTATTCTGTCTTGTTTTCCAGTACAAAATCTAAACATCCTTGAATCAAGACACATTTGCGTACTAAATTCTAGTCTAAGTTTCTTTGCTTGGTCTTAAAAAGTCTTAAATTTACCTTCATAAACCCTGTGATGTCGTGACTTTGAGCACAAGGCTAGTAACGGCTCAATGCTGTCAGCCCTGTGACCTCCTCTCTAAAGACTTACACTATCAGTCAAACGGTTGCTACTCTTTATTTTACTATTATTCTACAGTCAAAGTATTGAGAACATTGTAATAGCACCAAAGGATGTAGTGATGAAAACCACTTCTTCTTTGAGCAGAGCTCTCCTCACTCTGGACATGCAGGTGCATCATGGGATGCTTTTAGACATGTGTGATGATGAGCACTTTTTGTTGTGTCAATAAACTCATATAATATTTGCTAATTTCATGCATTTAATCATAAGCCTTTAGTTTAAAAGGTTTCTAAGATCATGAGATACATAAATTCAGTGACGTATACGTTGTGTATCTATATATCAGCATATCATAATATATACCTGTGGTTCTCAAACTTTTCAATCAAAGTGTCACCTTTGATCAGACAAAAAAAAATAACTCACGGGAACAAAGGAAGACTTTTGCTTAAGTCATCTAGACCATAAAATAATAGGGAAGGGAGGAGGCAGAACAATAGGCTTTTATTAATGTTTACAAATAAAATAAAAGCAGACAAAAACTACCCGTATGAAGACTCTGGATACACAACACGTCAAGGCAGGACTCAAGCGGGAACACAGTGAATGTTGACGATGAACTGGCACAGAACAGAGAACAAAGAGAGAACGGTGAGCAGACAAGCAGGATAATGAGGGAGGACAGGTGGGGCAACTGAACAGTAATCGGGTAACAAGTGGGGCAGGCTCAAGACTAATAGATAGGGCACATAGAAACAAACAAAACAAAGCCATGTGCCCACACAAAACACAAGAATACACAGCCAATCAGAGCACTCACAAGCTGTGTGTTCGCACAAAGCAAGACGACATGAACGCACATGGCCAATGAAAATCACCAGCTGCGTGTTACACGTGTTACACGCCAAGCTGATCCCAGGAAACTAGTCTAGGAAGGCTCTGTTGAGTCCCTTTTCTGGTCTAATCACACTCAAACAAAGACAAGACGATGCATAAAGCTACAAATAAACCAGAGAGCGGTGACAGAACCCTGACAGTCACAACCCATGTTTCTCACACCATTTTTCTCATTTGCATCAACTTTTATTTCTCCAAAGGAATTTTAGGAGAAACATCTGAGACACTGTTATATGAGCTTCAAGTGTTCTGAGCTGAGGAAAAGCAACCTCTGAGCAATGCATCTGATCACCCAGTCATACACAAACACAACACACACCAGATCCATGTCATATTTTGCAGAACTGTGAAATAGCTTGATGAGAGAAGCATCTAAAACATTTTAAATATTGCAAATGAATGCATATAAATGTAAATTTATAAACTGAAGCAATTTAATCTATTAAAACGTCTCTTGTCTGTTTTGAAGTGCTGTGTCTGGTTTCATGATGCACTAATGAGCACTGAATCCAGTGTTTCTGCATCAGAAACCAACCAAATCTTTATAGCCTACTGGAAGTTAAGCTCACAGACATCAAGGGCTGAACCACAGTTTGAGAACCACTGGTATACAATATTATTGTAGACGAAGCATTCAAAACTGGCTATTTTACGAAAGAGATTGACAAAATGGCTTATCAACTACTGATGATGAATGTAATGAATGTAATGCTGACACAAAACTGTTTTTTCCCTCACAGAATCCCAAATATGAGCTCGTCACCCCCAGGAAAATGTCTCAAGATCGGCTACAGTAGGTTCTTGTTCTCCATACTGTACATATGTCCTCAGCGCAGTAGCGTGATCAGTCACATCTGACTCACTTGCTTTATGACTCTCTTTTTCTAAATGACCAGTGCTGCGGTCTAAACCTGACTAGTCTAAAATCCTTCTCTGCACTGCCAGGTTTATAAAAATGTCAAATGTGTCATGTCTGTTGCATAGTATTATTCCCCAATGAATGATATGTCAAGAAAGCCAAGGTTCAAAATGCCACTCTTAAAATAAAGGTGCTTCAAAAGGTTCTTCAAGCGATGCCATAGAAGAACCATTTTTGGTTCCACAAAGAAGCATTCAGTCAAAGGTTCTTTAAAGAACCATCTCTTTCTTACCTTTTTGTAATCTGAAGAACCTTCTTTCGCCACAAAGAAGCTTTTGTGAAACAGAAAGGTTCTTCAGATGTTAGGTTCTTTATGGAACCATTTAGACAAAAATGTTCTTCTATGGCATCGTGAAGCACCTTTATTTTTAAGAGTGTATGAATTGGTAAACCTTTGAAAAACTACTGTCCAAAAGTTAGAGGTCCGTTTTTTTATGTTTTTGAAAAAAGTCTCTTCTGTTCACCAAGGCTGCATTTATTTGATCAAAAACACCAATATTGTCAAATATTATTCTAATGTAAAATATCTGTGTTCTATGTGAATATCTGTTAAACTGTAATGTATTTCTGTGATGCGCAGCTGTATTTCCAGCATCATTACTCCAGTCTTCAGTGTCACATGATCTTCAGAAATCATTCTAATATGCTGATTTGCTGCTCAAGAAACATTTCTGATTATCATCAATGTTGAAAACAGTTGTGCTGCACGATATTTTTGTGGAAACTGTGATGCATTTTATTTTTCAGGATTCACAGATGAATAGAAAGTTCAAAAGAACAGCATTTATTTGAAATAGAAATATTTTGTGACATTATAAATGTCTTTACTGTCACTTTTGATCAATGAATGAATTAAAGTATTAATTTCTTCCAAAAACTTATATTTAAAAACATAAATGTACATATACATACTGTGTATTTACATATATAGTGGGTGTAGAAAATAATCAGCCCCCTTTAAAATAATCACATTTTGTTGCTTTGCAGCCTGAAATGAAGACATCCAGCTGTATTTACTCAGTGCAACTTATAACATCCCAGTGCAAGATAAAACACCAACATGTCAAAAAATAAATAAAAAACAGAATCACTGAGTTGGAAAAAGGATCAGCTCCTTGTGTCAGTATTTTGTTGAACTACATTTTGCTGTAATTGCAGCCTTTAGTCTGTTGGGATTTGTCTCTACTAACTTTGTGATATTTGCCCTGATTCTGTTTTCTATTTATTTTTTGACATGTTGGTGTTTTATCTTGCACTGAGATGTTATAAGTTGCACTGAGTAAATACAGCTGCATAAAACAAAAGCTGTGTCCATCTTTATTTCAGGCTGATACCTTCTGACTAAATTGAATTATGATCAAAGGAAAGTGTTGTGATAACTGTATAGGCTCGTAACTGCAGTGCTTACAGTTTTACACTCTCAGTGTTCATCTGTTTGACAGTGTGGCTCTTCTGTAGGCTGCAGCTGGATGCGGAGGGTGTGTATGAGTGTTCAGACACGGGGCTGGTGTTCGAGGTCTCTCAGCGTGTGAAGATCACCTACTGTGTTCTCTCCTGGAGCAAGTTTAGCACCTACTTGACTGGATCCTGGAAATTTGCTGGTCCCATTTTCGATGTGGACTGCGATCCGTCTATTCTCAAATCCGTGCAGTTCCCACACTCACTGTGTCTAGCAGGTACAGAGATATCATAAAACAGTTTTCACAATAGGGTTTCTCCAAAAGAATAAGTGCTCGTTTGAGGGTTTTGACATGATGGGAAACGTTTAGATTTTTGAGAATTGCATCAAAACGTTGAGCATTCTCACTTCTTTCTCTTCTTTCTGCTCGATCGTTTGCGGTCATCTTCTTCCGTGTCTTCCCTTCGCTCTCAGCAGATAAAGACAACGAGGTGAAGTTCAGCGTGCTGCACGTGAAGAACAGCTGTGGTCTGATCGAGCCCTCGGCCGATCACTCCGGCAGTCACGTCAGGTGGAACGTGTCGTCTCTTTCTCCCGTGGGTCCGATTGTTCAGACGTCTAAATCAGCAGAGCATCATGGGGTAGTGCAGGTGTTCAAGGAGGTGGGCCATGAGAACTCCTTCTCCTTCAGAGTTTACCTGGCTGGAAACAACTGCTCCGACATCAAGGTGAGGAAACAAAAAGGCTTCTGCTTTCACAGAAATGACACGGTTTTTACACAGCAGGGCTGACTGGTTGTATTCTCGGTAGCGCTGCTTATGTGACATTTTGGTAATCTTCTATATTTAGACTTGATTTCAGAGTTAAGCTAGAGCTTGCCATCTTCAGGGACTAGTGCTGCTAAGTGTTGACATCACACCGGTTTCAGTTCTGGGTGAAGTGTGGGAAGTTTGATTGTGTGCGTGTCATCAGCGACTAAATGCCTGTAGCTACAGAACAGAAGCTTTAAAATCCCTGGAGGATGTCAGCATTTGTTTCTTCATCAGATTTGTAGAAATGTAGCATTGCATCAGTGTCTCAGCAATGGATGCTCTGCAGTGAATGGGTGCCGTCAGAATGAGAGTCCAAACAGCTGATAAAAAGGGCTGGTAGCACAGTCAACAACTCTAGGCAGTTGATGGCAATATGTCTAGAGAGCCTCTGAAAGTATTTCAGTGGACCGCGGTCTTGTGCTTGAAAAAGTTATATATATGTATATATATACGTAGTACATCAGAAATTACAGCCCCTGACTCAAAGCCACTTTTTCTGGTTAGGTACTCACCATTGTGACACAAGCCAAAACTGCTGAATGAAGCAGATGTGCTTGCTAAATGTCATCTATTAACATTCGCTCATCGTCTGATGTTCCTCAACAGTTTGTGGGCTGTCTGTCTTTGCCTTCTGCTGTGGGTTTACTCATCAAATGCACATGTGAAATGACTTCCTGTGGTCTGCACACCACCGAGCGGTTTCAGAGCGGCGTAACTCACGCTGTCAGAGAGGCGATCTCAGTTTCAGTCAGTTTGGCTAAAAATCTAAATTGTCATAATTCACAGTACTTAGCCTCATGTCCTTCCGAATGAATATGACTTGCTTTCTGGCCTCTCCTGTGCATATAATCAAAGGGGACTGGGTCTGTCAAGCTCAAAATAACAAAAAAAGCACCGGAAAACAGCGTGAAAAGTTGCTTTACTTAAACTTTGGTCTTTCTGATTTAGAGGCCTGTGTCACAAAGGATGTGTAGTATTACTAAAATAAAACCATATTTCTAAATTCCTAGTAAGATGGATAAGAGTCTATTAATAAATACTGAAAACAGTAAACACCAGCTGGCAGAACATCATGAAAAAAAAAATTGGTAACACTTTAGAATAGGGAACACTTATTCACTATTAACTACGACTTTTCCCTCAATAAATTCCTAATGTGCTGCTTTTTAATAGTTAGTAAGGTAGTTGTTAAGTTTAGCTATTGGGTAGGATTAGGGATGTAGAATAAAACATTAATATGTTCTTAATTAGTACTAATAAATGGCTAATATTCTATTAATATGCATGCCAATAAGCAACTAGTTAAGAGACCCTAAAATAAAGTGTTACCAAAAATTCTCATAAACAAACTTCCAAAATGAATGGAAAATAAAACACTTAGAATTCTATCGTTCCACATCTGTTGGTGTTCAGTTTTTTAATTGTACTTGCATGGATGTTTAATTTGCATGTTTTTTTTTTTATTGGACAGCAACAAAATATTGATTACAACAATATTTTCCTTTCAATGAAAAGCGTTGCATTGCACTTTTATGTGCACACTTGACCAATTGCAAACTCGTGGCCAATCCCTAAAGTGAAGTCACATTTATTTCTATAGCACTTTAAATAATTCAGATCGTTTCAGAGCAGCTGCACAGAAACAAACAGGAAAATAACAGTATTAATGTTACAAAGTTTTCATTCAATTTCAGCTGAAAAGCAGCTCTACACAAAACAATAGTGTCAATGTTCAGATCAATTCAATGCTGATTCGGTTTAGTTCAACAACGCTGTTAGAGAAGTGACCGAAAGCATCACAGTTCTGCCTAAACTAGGTTGTTTGGTTTTGTCCAATTCTAACTGATCCTGTAACCCGGAGTTTGTTTAGCTAGTTTAGCGTGACAATACTTGACAAGGCTCTGCTAGAGGTTCATCAGAATTACAGCTGATGCCATGTTCTGCAGGACATCAGGAGGGCCGTTCGGCGGGCGAACAACTGTAAGAACAACAAGAGGTACATACAAGTAGACAAGCCACCCACATGCATGCTGGAGGAGAACAGGAGGTACCGTCTCATCAGCGAGCCCATGGGTCACATCACACCAGAGGTACTGCAGACGTGTGTGTGTGTGTGTGTGCAGGACATGCTCTTCTCTCCTGTCATCGTGGAGGTGAAGGGATACTTCGAGGTCTTCTTTGAGGAGAGTCCTCCCTTCAAATTGTCCTTGACAGATGCTGACTCGAGTCATACCGTATGGACAGCTACCATCAGAGAGGGTACGGTTCAGTCAACACAAACACGAGCCGCTCCTTTCCAGGAGACAAAAATTTTGTTTTCAATAACTTTATTTGAAATGTTACTGCTGAACATTTATGAAATCATATTTTCCCACCTCATGCCTGAAGTAACGGGCCTATAACTGACAAATAGAGGAGCAAGCGTTCCCTTCAGATTACTACTCCACAAATATGCTTTTTAAAGGCCAAGTGTTAAACTCTGTCAAAGCTTTACATTATTTCAACCCTGTGACAGTAAGTTTACAATTAATACACTTGAGTACACAACTAGTACTTATAAAGCACAAATGTGTCCCTGCAGCACAAAAGCAGTGTTAAGTCGCTGGGGTATATTTGTAGCAATAGCCAACAATACATTGTATGGGTCAAAATGATAGATTTTTCTTTTATGCCAAAAATCATTAGGATATTAAGTTAAGATCATGTTCCATGAAGATATTATGTAAATTTCCTACCGTAAATATATCAAAACTTAATTTTTGATTAGTAATATGCATTGCTAAGAACTTCATTTGAACGTCATTTGAACTTTAAAGATGATTTTCTCAATATTTAGATTTTTTTGCACCCTCAGATTCCAGATTTTCAAAATAGTTGTATCTCGACCTCTGCATAATCCCTTAATTCTAAACCCCACACCTAAACTTAACTACTACCTTACTAACTATTAATAAGCAGCACATTAGCAGTTCACTGAGGCAAAAGTCACGATTAATAGTTGGTTAATAGTGAGAAATGGACCCCAAACTAAAGTGTGACCAATATGTCAAATAATGTGTTCAGTATCCTGTTCATTTGTAACAGTAAGTCATGAAGACAGTTTCCTGAGAATGACCAATAAATGTTATTATAAATCTTTTACAGGAGACTGCGTACATCATGTTGATGAAACCCCCAAAAAACCATCCAAAGGTATATAGTGCATCTCTGTCCTCAGTGCAATGTGGCAGGGATGGGTTTTTTAGTTACATTTTTTGGTTGAATACCTGAAATAAGGTAAATAAACTCAAGATACTTTCATGTTTTATCCTACGTCACAAAAAACATCAGTTGTGTTTGTTGGTGAAGATTATCGTGATGAACAAAACATGTAAGAATGAAAAACTTCTGTTGGTCGCAGAGCTTATTTTCTGCAGTCATCCAAAAGCCAATGGAATGATGTGATGTGAACTTATAAAAACACATCATCCCTTGAGCGCTCTGTTCATCACACTCTCAGATTGTTCAGGACTGATGCATATTCTGTGGTCTGGCCGTCTACAGGCAGAAAGAGACAGAGCAGCACATCAGAGGAAGAGCTCTGTCACAAGCACAGTAAGAAAGCGCGCGGCATTGACGAGGCCGGTAAGTTTATGATAGCCTCATTACAGTATTTATCCTGATTGTGTGTTGACTGGAGTGCTGGTGTGTGTTCAGACTGTAACGTGACGGCCGCGGCTCCGGACCTGACGGACCAGCAGCTGATGCAGGTGGCCAAACGCATGGGGAGGGAGTGGAAGGTCGTGGCCATCAGCTGTCTGGGCCTCAGCAAGCAGGACCTGGAGGAGATGGAGGCCACCGAGGAGAGCGTGACCATGCTGAAGTTCAACATGCTGGAGCGCTGGAGACGACGACAGCCCAAGGGGAAAGCGGGAATTCAGGATCTCCTCAAATGTTTGAAAGACAACGATGACGTGCCCAATGAGGTCATTGCTGCGCTGGACGGTGAGTCTGGACGGGATCTGGTGTGATGCAGTGTGATGGAAAAGCCTTCTGAGGTGTGTCTTTTCTTAGTGTTGACCGATATATCGGCCGATATGTGACCCTGGAGCTGAATTTATACAAAGCTGAATAATAAATAATCTTTCCATTGATGTATGGTTTGTTAGGATCAGACAATATTTGGTTGAGATACAACTATTTGAAAATCTGGAATCTGAGGGTGCAAAAAAATCTAAATATTGAGAAAATCATCTTTAAAGTTGTTCAAATGAAGTTCTTAGCAATGCATATTACTAATCAAAAATTAAGTTTTGATATATTTACAGTAGGACATTTACAAAATATCTTCATGGAACATGATCTTAACTTAATATCCTAATGATTTTTGGCATAAAAGAGAAATGTATAATTTTGACCCATACAATGTATTGCTGGCTATTGCTACAAATATACCCCAGCGACTTAAGACTGCTTTTGTGCTCCAGGGACACATTTTAGGATTTTTTTTAAATGATCGGCATCAGCTGACAAGTATTTCTGTTTGGCCAATGTGTTGGAAGCGGCACTTTTATTTTGACAAACATTTGACAAAATGTTTATTTGACAGATTTATTGTTTATCAAGGTATTTTTTTTTTCTTTCAAATTTGTTTATTTTCAGATTACGCCTAATTTGTAAATATTGTGTAAAATAAATATAAATTTAATTTCAGCACTTGTTATGCATGTGTTGCCATATGAAATCAGCATCTCGCATCATAAAAGTCTATATCGGTCAGCCACTATTCTTCCTCACGTGACCTGCTGGTGACGAGGCTCATGGAGTGAGATGCTGATAAACAATGAGATGTGCATCTAAAGATGAAACATAAAGATGACGTCCTTTAGGAAGAAAGTTGTGTTGGCTGCGAGCGAGACATGTGACGTTAAATCAGGCGATGCCTGTGATGTTGGCAATCATTCCTGTTTAATGCAACACACTACAGACAAAAACATTGAATTTTTAAAAATTTTTTCATGCACTGGTCAGTTTTGGTTACATAACACGTCTTCTTTCAAACTTGTGTGAAGAAAACATCCAAAATACACATTTTATTCCTGTCTATATTCTGAAGGCCTTTACTGAGGGGTTAGTTCATATATCATGGTGAAAATGTATTGTTTTCTGTCCGTTGACAGCATTTTCTAATTTACGGAGTGATAAAAAGAGAAATCCAAAATCTCCTCTGGAAAAACCAACTCTAAAATTTCATTAAAATCATGAGGATTGTGATCCTGACTTTTTCTGGATTTTTTTGCAAAATTAAAGCGTGCCTCATTTTGAAGTTTAAACATTGTAGAATTGTTTAGAACTGTCTTCGTGTACTGTAAGTAATGAACTGGTGGAGTACGGTGAGATCTATTACATTTTTACACTATTCATCTGGAGTGAAACACATTTATGCTCCTCTGTGCTGCATGAAATGTTTTTAACGTCCTTGTGGATTGAAACATGAAGTTAGAGTGGGCCATATCCATTCCCCCATTAGATTCAATATGAAGCATTTCTGTAATAATGCCAGTTCCTGTTACTACTGTAAAACGCCGATCGTTTGTAGTAATGCTGAGCCCTGCCTCCTCGACAGTACAGGGCTTCTGTTTCAGCTTTATATGTCAGCAGAACTGTTATTTGTTTTTCATTTGTGTCTCATCTTTCTTTCCAGAGATGCTACAAAAGAACTCAGCCACATGAGCATTAGCTGTCTGGAGTCTGTGGACTGACAGATGGTCAGGAGTCATCTTAACCACTGTTCGAGAGCGATGGAGACGTCCTGGAAGAGCAGGCCGGTCGCGCTCTAATCTGGACGGAGATGTTTGTGCTTCGACTGGAATCTGGTGCTTTCTGGAAAACTGAGCTCTGAATACACCAGACACGCTTAGTATGTCTGTAGACTGGTACACTTTGCATGCATCTCTTTATTTTGTGCTTGCATTTGTATATTTTTTAAGATACTGTACATATTTGAATGTCTTTGTAAGGACTGTACAGTAAGTAGAACTCCGTTTGTTTTGTTGCATTATGAGCCGTGATCATCTGCACTTGTTTTTGAGGAACAGGCTGATTTTGATCTCAGGTGCCATCGTTCTCTGATGGTTATGGACTGCCGTTATAGTAAATATGATATCATGATATTCATGCAGATACGGGCTCCATCTACACACGTGTAATCATCACTGTTCGTGTGAACGTCCACACATGTGACTGGAAGCGTCTCTGAAGCGTTTGTTGGGTAACCTGTACGATGCGCTGTCTCAGGGGAGTCTTTATTCTGACCTTTCTTTAAATCAATAAATCATGAAAATGAATGAAAACACAAATTGTTGTTCCGTCATAAACCAGAGCATTTCAGGACAAGTTACATTTTGCAGTTTAGTTTCAATCAACACTTTTTTAAGAGTCCATGATCACGCGGTAATTAAGCATCAACACACTGGTAGTTAATGATTAACTGAACATATACTAAAGGCAGGTCAGCACTAGTTCTGCGGTAGTTAAGCACGAACACACCAGTAATTAACAATTAACTGAACATACACACAAGGGCATATTAGCATTATTACAACTTATTAAACATTTTAAGCAAAAATAATCCAGTAATTAACTGAATGTACAGTAAATGTAGTAAAAGTTAGATACAGTTACAGTTTAGATATTCAGTAGAATAGGGAACACGTTCACTATTAATTAAGAGTTTTGCCTCAGTAAACTCCTAATTACTGCTTATTAATAGTTAGTAAGGTAGCTGTTAAGTTTAGGATTAAGAGATCTAAACTATGGTCATGCAGAATAAGGCATTAATATGTGCTTTATAAGTACTGATAAACAGCCAGTGTGCTAGTAACATCCATGCTGATAAACTACTAGTTAATAGTGAGAATTGATCCTTAAAATAAAGTGTAACCAGCAGATATTCTGTACTATCAGTAACTTTTGCAACTACATGTTAACTAGCTCTAAATAGAGTATTAGTAGACTGTTAGTTTAGGGTTAGGGTTGGCAGAATAAGTTGCCTTTTAGCCATTATTTGCAATGTAAATGTCTTTATGTGTGTGATTTACATAATGTTATATTCTGTGATTTACCATCTGTAAAATGAACCAAACAACAGGAATAATTGTTAAATTAGTGCTGGTTTTACAGTTTTGAGTAACACATTACGGTGAAACTTTATTTTAAGGTGTCCTTGTTACACATGTTACATGTACTTACTAATATAATAACAATTAATTATGCATAATTACATGCAAGTAACCCTAATCCTAACCCTAACCATATAGTAGGCACATGTAGTTCATTAACATTACTCAGCACTTAAATGTATAATTACACTGTAACAAGGACACCTTAAATAAAGTGTAAACTAAATGACTAAACTTGTGTAATAAAGACCCGTTCTGAAGTGAAAAGTATATCCACATGAATTATTGAGTGATGTTCAAGTTTATTCACCAGAAAAAGCCAGTAATACAGCACTACTAAAGACTCATGCTTAACTACTGCTTAACTAATGCTAATATGCCTTTACTATTGGTTCAGTTAGTCATTAACACCAGTGTGTTAATGCTGCACTACTGCATGATTGTGGAGCATTAAAATAAAGAGCTACCACAGTAAGTCTTGAATCTAAAAAGAATAATTCAGTTCTCATATGACTCATGTTTAATATGTTCTTGGGAATCATCCAAACAAACACAAAAGACATTTTTGTTACACAAATAATTTAATAAATAGTTAATAAATAATACATTGCGGACATGCAAATAAATAATTTCTCAACACAAATAAATAGACTGAGTGATTGACATAAATATACACCGTGGAGGCCACACGCGTCTAGCTTATGCGTGACTGACAGGCGTGCAGTCGTGTGAGGAGGAAGCGGCGCTGTGGTGAGTGACATCATTTCCTGTGCTCTCCGGAGCCGATGTACCCCAGCGCCCGGTTCACGGTGATGGCCCGGATGTGGAAGCCCTTCAGCGTCTTGCACAGGGACAGACGGTCATCGAAGGACAATCCGCTCCAGACGCGCCACTGCACACACATCAGAGAACATGAGCAGACGTGTGATGAAGGAGTGTGTGTCTGCAGAGAGAGAGAGAGAGAGGGAGACACGCACCTGAGGAAACTCTCCATCTGCAGCCTCGCAGTTCTCATTCAAACACTGCAAACCAAACAGAGGACCATTAAAACCATTAGAGTTTTCAACACACACACACACACACAGGTTTGTTTTTGTGAAAAGTGGGGACATCCCATAGGCGTAATGGTTTTTATACTGTACAGACCGTATATTCTATTGCCCTACCAGAGAGAGAGAGAGAGAGGGAGACACTCACCTGAGGAAACTCTCCATCTGCAGCCTCGCAGTTCTCATTCAAACACTGCAAACCAAAAAGAGGACCATTAAAACCATTAGAGTTTTCAACACACACACACACACACAGGTTTGTTTTTGTGAAAAGTGGGGACATCCCATAGGCGTAATGGTTTTTATACTGTACAGACCGTATATTCTATTGCCCTACACCAACCCTTCTCCTTGTAATACCTGTCATACCTTTGTCATTATACAAATTTATGTCCTCATTTGTCACAAAAACGCGCACACGCTCACACACACAGGCACACGCTCACACACACACACACACACACACATGCTCGCTCGCACACACGCACGCACGCACGCGCACACACATCGTTTTACTCGTCAAGGCATTTGTTTGCACACTAAACTGAGGAGTGCTGCATTTTTGGAATGGCTTACTAAGTGAGCACTGCGCAGTGTACACTGTGTTCCTTAACCCTTAATTCCGTAGCTGTACAGGCCTAAAATAAATAAATTTTTGATGTTTTTTGTTATGTCAGGTTCTCAGCTACCGACTGAGGGTGTTTATATCTGCATTTACGCATTTGGCAGATGCTTTTATCCAAAGAAATATGCAATGCATTGAAGATGTACATTTTTATCAGTTTAAGCATTTCACTAGGAATCAAACCCATGATCTTGGTGTTGTTAGCGGCATGGGGAAAAAATGAAGAAATGTTAAAAATGTTAAATTAAAAATTAAAAAATTACAATACTACTTGCAATAATTTTTTGTTTTTGTTTTTTAAAAATAGTTGTTAAATACAGTGCTAAAAATCATTTTGTTCCAATTTAAAAATTTTTGTTGTAATATGTGAGAATTTTAGTTTTTTTTCCCATAGTGTGATTTTTGGTGAAATTGTATTGAATCCAATTAGGGTCAATTTGACTCACAACTTAAAAATTCTGCCCAGAATTCAAACATAATAAAAGCAATTTTGCAATAAATGTTTCAAGCAGTGTAGCCGTCACTTGAAAGCAGTTATTTTATTATTTCTATATTAAATTCGGTTCTGTCTTAATATGTGGTGTCTGGTTGACTGGTCAGACAGCAGATGAAGCGCTGTACTGTGGGATGTGTGTTGTCCGCGGTGCTCTGACTGTGTGCGGATCTGTTTGTGCTGAATAGTGCTAGTGTGCTGCTATGGCATTCTGAGCAGCCTGTGGATCGATCAGTGAGCCTGTGGAGAGTCTCACGTTCATCAGGCCTTTGGTGGCTGTCTTCACTGGACTCAGATCAGTCTCACTGGGCCTGTAGGAGCTCAGCATCACATCGTAATAGCTCAGATCAGCTCTGATGTTCCTCAGACACTCCGTCTGTGAAGATCACACAAGCGTTAGACAGACCGGATCACCTGAGCTGAATCAGACGGATATAACACCACAGCAAACTCACCTCACTGAAAGACGAGCGTCTGTGGCTGGAGCAGGACGCATTCTGAAATCACACGCCATCCACAGCATTAATACTGGCAGTGACACTCACAGAGGAACACACACACACTGTACATACTGCTCACACGTCATCGGAGATGTGATGTGTGTGAGGAACTGAGGAACGATCAGACTCACATGAGCGGAGCCGCTGGGCTGACACACAGACGCTGTGAGAGTGTGAGGAATCATCTGAGCCTCCAGATCCGTGCAGTTAAAGCCAGCAAACAGATCCCTGTGTTCCATCTTCCCCTCCTGTGCTCAGAGCACACACAC